AATTAACAGCACTCAGAAATCTATAGTCCTTTAGAACTATATAATTTTTCTGAAATATTTTTAAAACTGTGCATTTCTAAAAATATTTTGCTATAAATCAAATATATAAACATCTTTAATAAAATGTGACATTTGGAATCACTTTTATGCACTTACCTGTTTTTGATTTTTGTTCACTTGTTTTTTTTGTTTTGGGGAGGGGGGTGTTTAATTTTCTCAGGGAAAATCATCCTTTTGATTTCTGTATTCTGAAGGTATGTATTACAAGTGATGTGAAGTGTTCAGGTTAGCTATTTCTTACAGTATTTCTTTATGGTTTATATCATCCTTAGTTTGATAATATCTCATCAGTGAGATGACGACTTCACGTGCTTGTGTGTGTGTTTATTTTTCTCCTTTTCCCCTACTCTTTCTATAGGGTGCTGGCACAGATGAAGATTGTCTAATTGAAATCCTAGTTTCTCGCAGTAATGAGCACATTCAAGAACTCAGCAGGGCATACAAAACAGGTTGGACTTTCTACTGTCTTAGATTTTTTTCTGATCTGTTGCCAGAACACATTTTCATAGTAGAAATATAAAATCAATTTGAGGTGTACACTAGGTATTTCAGGCTTTAATTACCATCTACTTAAGAAATGAGCAGCTGTATATAATAACTGTATATCTGTATTTCAGAATTCAAGAAAACTCTGGAGGAAGCCATAAGAAGTGACACATCTGGACACTTTCAGCGGCTTTTAATTTCACTTGCTCAGGTACTTGCATGTGTGCTTTGAGGTAACACTCATAACAGCCTTTGGTTAATGACAAAGCAGATGTATTAATCTTGGTATATTTTATTTCTCACAGGGAAATAGGGATGAGAGTACAAATGTTGACATGTCACTTGTCCAAAGAGATGCTCAGGTTAGTAAGAAGTCTATCTCATCTTTGTATCTGAAGTTTTAGTTGCACAGTTCCTGATGCATCTAATATGATATGTGCCACTAAAGCTGGGTACACTGAGTTTTGACTAATTTTATTTTTAGCCATTCTGTTATTACTACAAAATGTCATTGCTACTGTTGTTCAGTTGGATTCTGTAATAAATATTTTCTTTTGAGCCTTTTTAAATATTACTTCTAAAAAAAAGGAACTCCTTTTCAAGATGGTAGATAATTGATTTTAGGCTAGTAATTTCCTTTCTGCAACATATAATCAAGTGACATTTATGCCTAAAGAAAAAAACTGGACTGAATATCTTCCACCAGAAAATGTGTGGTCTGCTGGAGAAAGTCCTTTCTGTTGGGGTGGGTTCTACAGGCCTAAGTTTTTTAAATGCTTTTTCAGAGCAGAAGCAAATTGTTCTTCCCAACTACTGCAGTATCTCTAGCTCAAAGCTTGTTAATTAGGGGGTTGTGCAGCCAGGAGATGCTTTGATCTAATAATACATTACCGTTTCATAATGTTTATTAACTGATTATCTAGGTGAAGTAAGCTCTTTATACCAAGGGAACCCTGGTGTATTATAAATAGCAATATCACTTCTTTTCTGCAGGGGTGTATTTTGTCCTGAAGGTAAGAGAAGAAACACAAGCCTTTCAGGAAGTGTTGAAAAGCATCTTAGGATGAAACCTGGAACAAAACCATGTCACTGGCAAAATTTACTTGCACTCACTTGAACAAATGAATGTTCTTTCCTTGGTGTAGGGTTCAGTCTGGAGCTGTTGTGATGAAGTGTTCAATGGAATGTATAGATACAAATAATTGTCATATTAATCCACCTAAAGACTGGAGCTAGTCCTACTCTAGCTAGTCCTACACTTCTATTTAGTAGTAGTATTCAGAGCAAGGGATGAGTGTGAAAGAGGGGAAAATATTGAAGTGCATAGATAGATAACAGGTTTGTAACAGGAAAAGCCAGCTAGCCTGGAAAACCAACTAATGAAGTGTGATTGTCTTTTGTGTTTAGGAGCTATATGCTGCTGGAGAGAACCGCCTAGGCACTGATGAGTCCAAATTCAATGCCATTCTTTGTGCCAGGAGCAGAGCTCACCTAAGGGCAGGTAATGGTGTCTAGACTTCCTAAATGTGTGCTTATGAACTTATGGTAAATAGATTTTGTTTTACTTTATGCCTCTCCTTGCATAAAGATAAAAATAGAGTGAATGTAGTCCTGAGTGTCATAGGAGGGTAATGATATCGCTTCTAAAAATGGTCTTCATTGTATTGGTGACATTCCCTGAATAAGAGCAGGGGAGTCTCTCTGTCTGTCCTTCTCTCATTAAAAAAACAAACCAAAACCTAGTATAGAGGTTCATTTGTAAATAGTTCTTTTGTGAAACAGTTGCAAAGTTCTTGCTTTAATTATGGGTGTTTACATGTACGCATGCATGCACGCACTCCTTTGTGACAGTCGTATCAGTAATGTACAATTTTTCTTTACAAAGTTTGTAATTGTCATACACACTTCATGCTTCTTTTGAACTGGAAATACTGGGTGATCTTGGATAGGGTTGGAGTAGGTGAATTGTCTTTTAGATGCCACTATCAACTAGATTTCCTTCAGTTACCAAATTAATAGTGCCTCTGGTCCTGCACCTCAGCACAAGTTTTCTGCGTTCTCTCTTACCCAGAAATATTCCCACCCTTGCTACCTGCGATACAGCTGCAGTGGTGTCAGGAGTGGGGAAGAGCTCTAGAGTACACAAATTGACACTAGTATCTAGCTTTTAATTACCACCCTGTCTGAGCAGGAGTGCCCTAATAATACCAACTATTGCTGCCACCTATTGATCAGAATGTAGCAGAATTTAATTTTAACATAAAGGCACAGGTACAGTGTTTCAGAACATCATTCTGATTTCAGATGAATTTTAGTATCTTTCGTTCCCTCGTCCTCAGAATTAAAATTTCATCCTGATCCCTGACAGCAGTCTTCTGCCATAAACAAGTCTCCCTTGTTCATGGTATAGAAAAGAAGTCTGTGTAGACACTTTAGACTTCATTTCTCATATGGGTTTCTATAACAATGTGCCCAGGATAGATAAGAGATGCAGAGAAGAGGATCATTTTTTCATTCCTGATCATCCTAGGGAACATATCGCTCACAAGCAAAAAAGCAGCAAGCAAGCAAGCATTATCCGGTCTGTGTTGTCACACTTTTATAAAATGAATGGATAAGGGATTTGTGAGTAGGATATAAATCTTTTTGTACTGGGATTTTCAAAGGAGTCTTGCAGCGTTAGCTGTTAAGTTGCCAGTTCAAAGCCAGTCCTAACTGGCAAAGACTAAAAACTTGTTTCCACGTGACTAATAATTTCAAAGAGGTCAAAATGGGGAGTGAAGAATAAACAATCTTCCTACAGCTGTGCATCTCAGTCTAGGAACAGACATGGCATTTGTCCTTGAACACATTGTGCTTGTGTTTTGTCTTGGAACAGAACTATCCCAGGATTGGCATGTACACGTATCACACTTTTTAAAATGGGGGTTAGTGAGCAGTTAAATGCACTGCTGTTTTTTCAGCCATTGATTCAATGTTGCAATCCTGGGATAACTGTTCAGATGTACTTTGCCATGTTTTGGGATAAATTGTTACTACTTATCCCATAAACTTTTTTAGGATTTATCCCAGAACAATGGACTTGGATACCTCTGATTGTGCTTTATCCTGGAATAAAATGACTTATCCCAGGACAAATGTGGCATCTGTTTCTCATCTCTAGGACAGAGTACAGATACACTGGCAAGACAACACAAATATGACTCTTCATTTTTCACCATTTCTGTGGTGAAAGAAACACTTTGACCACCAAGATTATTAGTTCTCCACCTTGAATGAGCATTCAATACAAACAGTAATTTAAAAAAATGAAGTTAAAAAGATAAGTAAAAAATGGTTTATAATACAGGTGTTTTCTAAATCTTTTAGAAACAATTTGACTCCTGTATATAAAACTGGCCACAGATACCTGTTCTGTACATGCTGCAACATTAAATATAGTTCCTCCACTAGAGATGCTGTTTCCTGTGTTTTTGAAGAAACAAAATCAAGATAGAGACATATAAGCCAGTACCTATTTGCATATATTTAATCCTGTATGGGTAACTCTACAGGCAGGGCAGAAAAGAGTAAAAATATACAGCCTTAAAATGGGGCAGAACAAGTGGGTGATACCTCCTCAAAGGCCAGAGCTTAGGAAAAACTTTGGTGCATTAAAAATGAACATGCATACCTGGAAAGGATTTAAACTGAGTTCTATAATCAGTGTAATTTTAGAAGTAGCTTCCAAATATGAAAAGAATATACCTGCCCAGCATGCATCAAAGCCACCTCTCTTAAAAGATTGACTGCTAAAAATTTCCTCTTTTCTATGTAGTTTTCAGCGAGTACCAGCGGATGTGTAACCGTGATATTGAGAAGAGCATATGTCGGGAGATGTCTGGGGACTTGGAAAGGGGCATGTTGGCAGTAGGTATGTTTCTCATTTTTGTTTGATATTTATATTAGTAGTTTTAGCAGTGATGATGGTGGTGGAATGAACTGCTTTTGTTTTGCTTTTTCTATATATTTTATGTATCTTTATTTTTTAATGTATTTTTTTGGTATTGCAGAGGTTGCTTTTTATGGAGGTAACTCAACCTGTGTTTTCAGTTTTCTGCCTCCTTGTTGAGCTTTCTAGAGAAACTGCCTGCAGGTACTAAAACAAGACAAATAACTTGTGTGGCAAGGAAGGGTGAGGCTTCCTCTGAGCAGCCTTGGGATTTAAAATACATTAAACAAGGGTAATTATTTTCAGAAGAGCTAATCAGTTTTAGGTGCTGCTGAAGTCTAAGAGACTTGCGTATCTTCAGTACTCTTGAACTTGCAGCCAAATATATCACTTAACCGTATGCTGCTAAATCCTTCTAGTTTGGCTATTGTATATTGATTTCAAGGGTAAGGATTGTATCAGAATACCATTGAAGTCCATAGAGAGACTCCAAGTGATTTTCTTGGGCTTTGGATGAGAGCCCATTTTGTTGAACAGCCATTTAGGTGGGTTAAACCTTCACAAATTAGAATAACTGTGCTTCCCCTCTGTAAAGGAGTTTGGTAAGTCTATTTTACTTTCACCTCTGATCTGTTTTACCCCTTTTTAACAATTGGCCTGTTACGAAACTGTTTTCCCCACCATTTTTTTTTTTTTTTTCATTTAATGTGGTCTAGTGCTGACAAACTGGGACACAATGATAAAAATGTATGGTCTGAGTCTGTTCTGGCTGAAATCAAGAGCAAAATGCCAGCTAGCTTGAATGATAGGAAATTCAGGTCACTTGTTTGTGCTATGATAAAATTACAGGCTCATTTTATGAATGTTTCAAAAAGTTACTTTCTGTTTAAAATATCCTGTTCAGTTCCTACCTCATGCACAGATACTGCAAGTATCTTGCCTTCGTTTCCTAATGACTGAGATTTTAAAAATGTAGTTTTATGAGTGATTGCTCTCAGTATAAGTTAACTTTGCTTACATTTTTTTTCTTTTTGGCCAAGTTGTCAATACAATGGTCTTCTGAAGCCGTACAGTCAAGAGAGTATAATCACAATGGGCATGTCAACACTGAAGGACTGCCCGTGGGGATGCCAATTAACTAATTAATTCAGAGGGTTGTTAATCCTATATGACTCAAAGGTAGTCAGGTTCAGGGGCATTAAAGTAAGTTAATTTCCCTGAGCATTGACCTACTGCCTGACCCCACTCAGAGTTAGAAAGAGTAGCTACACACTACAGCACAGGTAGGTTGAGCAATTTAAGGTGTATTGCACAACAAAACCTGCGCAACAACTACCTGACGCAATATTCCCGGAACACCTGAGCCGTAACACAACAAAATACACCCGATGAGACAATAACCCAATGCACACCCCAAACCCAATGTCCCTGGTCACACAGCCAATCGGCTACACATTACAGTGAGCATCGGTCACTACACAGTTAACTGCTGTGCAACTTCACAGACAACCTAGAAACCATAGATGGCAATGAGAATACCCTGGGCCTCGTCAGCAGGAGAAACCCTCTGACAGTCCCTGAAGATTTTTGGCTTTTCCCTGCTTAGGTACTCAGCACCTCAAATAGGGAAAGTGTGATACTTTACCCAACTATAGCTTCCCAACGACCAGGTCACAGCAAGGAACCTGCACTCAACGAACTCCTGTACCCCGAGAACCCCGAGTCAGAACTATCCAGCTAGAGTGAGAGCGAGCTCCAGCCCGAGCCCCTGCTGGCTGCTCTGGACAGGATTTATAGCCTTCTAATCACACCATCTGTCACTCACCCAGTACTCCAAACATCGCCCTTTTCACCATACCCAATCAAATTCAAACCTGGGCAGTACTTAAAAGAACCAATCAATTCAAACTATTTCAGCTCAGTACAAGAAACATTATCATAACTTCCTTATTAATTGACATATCAACATTGATAAACAGTTGCATTACCATTATACATGGTGCATGCCCAGACCTTAAAAGTAGGTCATGACTTCATCATGGGTGAGAATTCAAACCCTCTAGAAACTTCTCACCTCTAGTCATATGCGCATGTGTGGAGTTTCACTGTTCTACAACATGAGACACTTTACTGTGCAGTAGACTAATCTACTGTGCAGTAGGGTCATGGTCTACGCATGCAAAGCACTTACTGCACAGTAAATTATACTACTGTACAGTTAACTAATACCTGTAAATACAGATACTAGTGTAACTGCATGGTAGTTACTGCATAGTGTTGCATTTGTCCTGCAAACTTGCACCTGGTCAACCTAGGCAGCAAGGGGCCATGGTTCGGGGAGCTCTCTGCCCTCCGTCCTAGCTCCCAATGCAGAACTGGGAGCTGCAGAGAGCAAGCAGGGGCTGGGAACCTAGCCCCTGTTCACTATCTGGAGCAGCTCTGAAGTTCCTAGCTCTAGGCAGCATAGAGCTGCTCTGAAGAGTGAGCAGAGGCAGGCTTCCCAGCCCCCATTCATGCTCCAGAATTCCCAACTCGGTGCTGCATTGAGCTGCTCTAGGGGGTGGGTGGAGGCTCGCAGCCCGAGCAGGGCAACTGCCAGCGTTCCCTGTGTCCTCGTGCTTGGCAGGGGGCTGGCAAGGAACTGTCGCAGAAGTGGGACGCCTGCCAGCAAACTCCTGCTGAGCGGGGGGAACAATGGGGCTTGCTGGTAGGTGCTTGTGGGGCAGTTCTTGGTCAGCGCACTGACAGGGAGGCCGCTTGCTAGCAGCTGCCCCACACCTGGGACAGTTCCCGGCAAACCCCCTGCCAGGCAGGGAAGCCCCAGCTTGTAGGGGGCTTGCTAGCAGCTGTGTCCTGATGTACATGGGGTCAAGAGAGCTCTGTTGGCTACAGTGGCAGCTGTCTCCTGGCTGATGTGCATGGGGCCAGGAATTAGCTGCTGCTGTAGCTGGCAGAGCTCTCCTAGCCCCACGCACATCCGGACTGTACAGATTTTACTGTACTGGCCCCTGTGCCCCTTGCCAGTCCTCAGGCTAGCATCTGGGATAGCCTGGAGCTCTCCCTGGCAGCTGCAGGGGGCAGAGCAGGGTGGGAGCAGCCCTGTGCCAGGCTGCTGCCAACAGGTTGCGCCTGTAGTATTTTACTACACAGTAAGCCTAAAGCATGTTAATAGCATGTGTAGATGCACCCAGTGAGATTTTTTTTTTTTTTTTCCTGCTTTTTGCCATGATTGATACACTCGCATTATATCTGTTGAGTGCTAACAGAAAGCCAGACATACACAATAGAAATAATAGCTCTTGGGTTGTATTGTGTTTACATGTTACCACTGTATAACTGATAACCACTAAGCCTCATATTCACACTGAAAGATAATACTTTAAAAATTCCAACCAGAACAAATAATGTTTACTTCTCAGCCTAGCTCTTGCAACCTAATCCTTATGGGGAGAACTTTTACCCAACATAGTGTTGACTCTAGAAAACTAGAGGATGCCTCCCACATAGAAGTAGGTATGGGATAGGGGCCACTGAATACAAGCAAAGCAATAATCCTTTACAGAGAGAACCTAATAGCATTAACATTCAGTAAATATCTTAATCATCTTGTACTAATTCACTTTTAATGCCTATATCAGCCTTTACCCCCTGCTGTGATCTGTGTTGCATGCCTTATGTGCAAAAAATCTAATTGAAAATATTTGTTTTCTTTGGTTTTATTTTCTTTAAAGCTTGCTGGACTGTACAGATGGTAATTTAGATCAATCTTAAAAATATCTTGGAGTGCGAGTGAACTCGGTGTAGTAATCAGAACACATGCATTTCATGTTGTGTCATTGTTCTCTGTTTTGAAGTGAGTGGTGCACATCCTGGACAACTATGTTAACTGCTGTCTCTCTCATCTGTATCTTCTTCAATTAAAAGAATACAGTAAAATCTCTGCTGTACGGCATTTAACTAGCCAAAATACTAAATTAACCATAATTTTAGTGGTGGGCTGCCATGCCACTTTGCTGTCTGCTATGCCACCATGAGGGTATCTGAGTACACACATCACACCGTGCCACTTTCCTGCCTGCTGTGCCACTCTGAGGGTGCACGGGTGGGGTATCTGAGTGTGCGCGTCCCTCCCCCTTGCTGCAGTAGCTTGCGGCTGGGTGCCCTGGCATTTGGAGTGGCTGACTAGTATGGCATTTTTATCTGATTACTGTTTTATTCTTTATATACTATGTTATACTATAATGTATTGTACACTAATTCTTTGAAAATTTGCACGGCAAGTATGGCACTGTCTTCCTTGAGTATAACTCGGGTAACCAGAATTTTTAGATAACCGCCCCCCCCTTCTCCGCTCATTCCAGATAACAGAGATTTTACTGTAATTACAATTTTTCTATAGAAATATGTATTGCTATAAAATAAAATAGCTACTTTTCCATATTTGACCATTATGTTTTACCCCAATCTTAGTTGGTTGATGTTCGTGGGGGGTTTTTCCTCTCCATATAATATTCTTATGAGGGGGATGTACGGATAGATTCTGCATAGTTTGCTTTAGACTGCATGACTGTTTATGTATACCAAATCAATGTGAAAAAATCTGTTGGGATAATGGATAGGATTTTTGTGAGCGTGATTTTGATTTAGTCTCTTAAACATCTGTTTCCTGTGTAAAGCAGGTTTAATCTAAATTCCAGTCATTTTATTTTAAATGAGTAAAGAATTCCAAAAGTCCTAAGATGATAGCTGGCTGTGGTTAACAATAATAATAAATAAAAATTAAAAAGGAAGAAAAAGGATGCTGAGATTGTCAGAGGAAAAACTAAAACTAATTAGGTTCCAAAATAAATTGAAGTCTTTGGAAGGTTCTGGATGTTCAGCATTATGGAAAAGATGTCCCTTAATTAGGATCTAAGAGTACTTTTACACATGCTCTGGGGGTGGGGAGGTGGTGTTTTAATTGGAGTGGCTTCAAGAGCTGTTGTATTTAAAGTGCTGCAGTGTCTTGTGTATCAGTGCCCTTTAAAAATGGCGGTGAGGGCACTTGAACTAAAGCTTGAATGCAGGTATTACCACACTCCAGCAGCCTCAATTAATCGAGTCTGCTCCGACACGCTGTAATTACACGTTCTTGTATAGGCACCATAGGAGCCTAACTTTATGCACTCACTCTTGAAAATTTTCACTGTAGTAAGATAATTTCATTTTGATTTGCTAGTATAATTTAATATCAAATCCTATTTTACACCTGTTTTCCAGAACAATTAGAATACAAACTCTGTATGGCCTTGTGTCTGCATCATTCCATCTAAGGACCTGTAACTTGTTACCTCTTTCTGGGTGGATCAGAGTGGCTATTAGTTGCATGTGTTAGCTGGCTTAATACTGTGCCATGCAGTGTTCTAAAACCCCATTGTTGGTGTTCTTTTGTTTATAAAAACCCTAGCTTTACCAGCTGGAGTGAAACCAGCTGTGAAGTTTTTGAAAAGATTGAGTATTGACAGTACAATAAGAGACTAGAAAGTTGTGAGAATAGTGTGCATCTGACCAGGCCAGCTGCTTCTTGGGACTTGAAGGACAAGACACTGAATTTAGACCTGAAGCTTGCAGAATTTCTCAGAATGAGAGAGGCCAGGGAATACTTAGTGTTGCTCCCCAACTTCAGTCCCATAACTAGACCAAATCTGCTGATCCAAAGAGGCATTCCTAGCATGGAAGTTACATATTTCCTAAAAGAGCAAATGAAAGTCATAGGAGTGTTAAATGATGGCCTCACAATAACCTTTTTGATTATAAAAGGACAGGCTTAGCCTTGTAAATTAAAAAGCTTGTATTTATGGAATGTGTAGGTGATAGTAGCATTGATCATATATTTTTACAAAGATAAAACAAATGTCTGCTTCAGAACAAGCTCACTAAGTACAGCTAGTTGTATTTAGCTGTAACTAACCTGTCGATAAATTTTTATTTTGCAGTTAAATGCCTCAAAAATACTCCAGCGTTCTTTGCTGAAAGACTCTATAAAGCTATGAAGGTAGGTCCCTGTAGCCAAGAGTGTTTAAATTTGTATATCATTTTTTAAAAGCTGATAGCCTAAATACCTTGGATTTACCGAAACATTGTTGTATAATAGTAACAATGATAATATTGTCATTACCATTATCATCATTATTAGGCTGTGCAAAATGTTGACAGCCATTTCATTTTGGAGGTGTTTTGGCCTGTTTTGGCACCCAAAATGCCGAATCCAAAACAAAACGGAAGGCTCCAAAACATCTTCAAAACAAAACCATCCAAAACGTTTCATAAATGTTTCGGCGGCAGGTTTACGGGAAATAGAAACTCAGAAGAGGGAGGGAAGGACTGCTCTGATATTGACATCTGTAGCTGGCCAATGTTTGTCCCTGAGGTCCCTTCCAATCCCGGTGCTCTGGGGGAGGGACAGAGAAACAGCATATAAGGCTCTGTGTGAGGCCTTTCTCTCCCTTTTGTGAGCAAAAAGTCTGGAAGCAACATCTTGTGAAAGGTACTGGCTGGCTGCAGTGACCGGCTTCTTAGTCAATCTCCTGCTAGTCCCTCTTTTTGGAAAGGATTGGCTACACCTTTCCAATATATTATAGATACAAGATCTAGTAAGCAGATAGAAGACGATATAGTAAAGATAAGTTATAGTGAAATAAGCAGATAGAAAAATAAGATATAGTGAAGACATAGAAGATGTATATTACGCGCACACACGCGCGCATTGGATACGTTCCCAAGGTAAGCAAGGTCACCCAGAACACTGGGGAGATGCGTGCTCTGGATGGCCAGCCCTTCTCCTTAGTTGAGCAGCCAGGGTTCAGGCAGCTCATGGCCCCATCCTGCCGCATGCTTGCATGCACCACCTTCAGCAGGACAGTGGTGCCGTCTCTGTATGAGGCATGCAAGGAGTACTTGAGGGAGGAGCTGTGCAAGGCAGGTCCACAGGTGGCCTTACACTTCACCTTGGACATCTGGAGCAGCCAGGGTGGGGTGGAGATCATGCCTACCTCTCCCTCGCAGGGTACTGGTGCCATCAGTCAGGCTGTCGGTGGGCTTTCCTTCAAATGGAGATGATGGATGAGTCCCACACAGCAACCGAGATCATGGGGCCATGAACTGCATGGTGCAAGGGTGGCTTGTTGGTCAGGGTGAGCTCACCCACAGGTTCATGGTCACTGACAATGGGACCAATATGGTCAAGGTGATGTGTGGTGCCAACTTTGTTGGCATCCACTGTGTGACACACAAGTTCCACCTCATTGTCAGGGATGCCTTGGAGGGGGACAGGGCTGCTGGTGAGGGCACCGTCACAACTAGCCAGCTCATTTCAAAATGCAGGAAGGTGGCGGGCTACTTCTGCTGGTGCATCAAGGGGGGCAAGATGTTGTGGGACAAACAGAAAGAGTCAAGTGTCCCGCAGCACAAAATCATGCAGGATGTGGAGACTCGGTGGAACTCCACATACCTGATGCTCAAAAGGCTGGTTGAGCAACAGAAGGCCATCACTAACCTCATCACCAGAAGCCAACTTCCTACAGCCCAAAACACGCCAAATGGATCCAGACCATGCCATGACAAGACATGCAAAACCTGCCAACATACTAATCCACTCTATTACAGACAAGAATACCCAGCTACCTGTGAGGGCACATTCCTCACAAGAAAGCCGCTCTGTCTCCAGTCCCTCAGGCCTGATCCTCAAAAGGAAATTAGAAACCACATTTCACAAATGAGCCTATGAACTTCACCTTTATCAGTCTCCTAGATACAGAAACTCATGGATTCAGTATAGACATTGGATTTATGACACACTATAACCTCACCAATATCTGACTCTCCAGGTACCTCTCCACTTATACCTGCTACATTCTCCTTCCCCTCCCCACCCCTCCTTCAGCCTGTCCCTCACCCCCTGACACCTCAATTTACAGTTTCACTAACTGACTTTCTTGCCTGCATTGCATACCAGCCTGTGGCTTCTTCACTATTCATTCCATCCAGGAAGAGCACGTGCGTGCGCGCGCACACACGCACACACACACACGCGCGCACACACACACACACACACACACACACACTAACTGCATGCTTCCTCAGCCTGATGAAGGGTTTTTAAACCTGAAAGCTTGCTAAGGTATATTTCGCCATCTATTCAGTTGGTCTAGTAAAAGATATCAGAGGTACCCTTGACTGGTCCATGCTGGGGCCAGGACCCAAAATGGGGCAAAGGGCCAGGGGCCCACCACAAGGAATGCCCAGAGCAAGAGACTCGGGATTCCGGCTGACCTAAAGATGGGGTCAGGGCCTAAGGAGGAGCCAAAGGTCCCAGAGAGGGGACCACAGCTGGAGGGGGTGAAGGGTGCAATCTGTGAAGCATGGGCTGCAGTGTAAGGGGAGGTATGGAGCTGCGGAATGGATGTCATCCCTAGACACCTATGTGGGCCGCCTGTCACCTGGAAAACATCTGAATCAATTTTCCATCAAGGCGTGGCAGGAAAAAGAGGGGTAGGCGGTTGGTCCAGAAACAGGTGGGCGGGCAGAGCTCTAACAGGCACTGGGAAGGCCCCCAGTTACAGGCTACCATCCCTGCTGGTTTGATCCCACCGTGCCTTAACACAGTCACATGTCACAGGTTTTGCTTTGAACAGTTTGAGGTGCAGTTTCACAGAAACCCCTGCTCTTGTCTCCTTGAAACATGGCAGGCTTTGTGCCCTCAGAAGTGGCTACCATCCCTGCAATTTTTATCTGAACTCGGCAAGAAATGACAAAGTTATAGGCGTTTTAATGATTCCCCATTATAGCCTATGACCAAATCACCAAAACAGTGTCTAAACTCTGAAACGGATTCAGCCAAATTGAAACAGAACAGTGATCTGAAACACCAAAATGAATCGCTGTCCTCCGAAACAGCCAAATCAGAAGCTGAAATGAGACAGCTGTTTCGCACAGCCCTAATCATTATCATTGTCATTATATAACAATGGTAATATAATTGGATTTGTTCGGTTACTATGAAAGGATAGAATAAAACTAATTTACCCAGCATTAAAGATTAAATTAAACACAGTACAGGGTGTTAATGGTGTTGCCAGGCTCAGATGGGCTTGAAAATACTAGGATAGACTTACTGTAAAGCAATATATTACTGGTGGTTCTTTACAAAAAGTGTTACCAAAGTTGTATGGGGGATTTTTTGTTTTTGTTCTTTTGGATATGTTTGTTTTGTTTTTCTTTTTTCCCCCCCATAGTTATAAATATGACAATACATGTAAACACATACTGTAATTATTTTGGTTGTGTCCTGGAGTGTGTTTTACCACAATTCACTTGGGAGCAGGAGGGTGTCTGCTAACCTACTGCCTGTCTAGCAAAGTAGTATTTCACCAAAGTGCTTGCATGATGTTGAAGTTCAATTGAGAACAGTTGCTTGCAAAACTGCAGGTGCGTTGCCCCTTTTCATGCTTTGTTTCACTTGTTTAACATTCTCAGAGCCAGAATATGTGCCTAAAATAAGGATCTGCCCAAAACTGCAATTGTGTTTATTGTTTATACAAAAGACCAAGATGAAGAAGACAAATTAGTTTGGGTAGAGCACCCTGTTTATGTAGCTATACTGCTTCTGGGCTAATATGGTATCTTTGCATGGCACTTCAGTGTTGTGTAATATATTAGTGCTTTTGGATATAACCTGTTAGCTAACATGGGTCTCTTTACATAGTGCTTCATTGCATATACCCTTAAGTCTCTAAGCCCGATTTAAAGCAAATTTTGTTGTGTTACACTGGTTTGGTTCTGTAGACCTTAACGAGTTGTGCTGGCGCAACTTGGGGGAAAAACTTTTCTGTCCATTTAATTGTTGGGAGTTTGCATTTTTTATTAACACAATATACTGGTTTCTCTACAGGGAGCAGGAACAAAAGACAGGACTCTAATTCGAATCATGGTTTCACGCAGTGAGGTTGACCTGCTGGATATACGTGCAGAATACAAGCGGATGTATGGAAAATCTCTCTACACGGACATTACAGTAAGGCTTTAGAGTTTGGGTTTTCCTCCCATTAATTCTTGTTTGGGCCATAGAATAACACCCCACAGCTCTAGTGAAAGATGCAGTGAGTGTAGCTGACAATGCTGCCTGTTGCTGTCCATATTCCCAAGTAGTGTGGAACAGCTGCTATTTGGTTGTGTTTGGAGCTGCTTGCAGAAGAGTAGGAAGAGGCCTTATGGTCAGCAAGGACAAGAAGGGTGGACCACTAGTTAGAGAACTGAAGTAGGATTTGGGAGACCTGAAAATCCCTTGTCTGCCACACTCCTCATGCAACTTGTACGTATTGCTTAGCCTCTACGTATTTTGTCTTCCATATATAAAACGGGGGTAATGTTACTGTCCTACTTCACGAGTGTGATATTGTGAGATTTGAGATGCTCAAATATTATGGTAATGCAGGTTGTTTAAGTACCTGACAGAGTAGGCTTGAGCATCCTCTCCACAGATGTTGTTTTGCAAGTAGGCTAGATGTGATCAGCTAGCAAATTCATTGGCATGCGTTTAATGACAGGTGACATAGGCAGGCACCCCTTTCCCCAGTTCTACGGTGTCATGGGCTGTAGTAACAACCAAAGAAAATGTTTAGCAGCTGCATACCTTGCCCATGGTCTATACAGAATAATTATCTTCCCCTTAGCTGATGCTCATGCAAACTATCTTGGGTATGGATGCTTTTCCTTTAATGTGTAAACGTAAATAAAAAATGAGAGGCAATATTTGTGCTTGATTCTTAAAAACAACTTTTTACATGGTGGTAGGAATTGCCAACGTTAATAAATATTTAATATCTTTGCAGGTCAGAGAGGGACATGGCAGTTCAGGTTATTAGCCTGTATTGTTAATAACATGGCAGAGCACAGTGTGAAATGCACGTGTTTGCGTGCGTGCGTGCGCGCGCGCGCGCGCACACACACACACACACAAATCATATGCATGTTTAAGCATAGGTGAAAATTTCCTTGAACAGGATTAAGTTCTAATTCTTACCCCCTTTAATGAGTAACAGCCCTCAGCTGTCACAAGGTATGTAAAGATACTTTCTATAAGCTTCTGTCATTTAACATGTTGCAGGTATGGTTATGCTTTCAGCCTACACATAAGGTCTTGTACTTGTATACTGAAGTAAATTATAAAACTTATTCTGGTCAAACCTTATTTATAGCCATATCAATCCAAACAAAATAGTTGCCAACCATAATACCAAAATAGGTTGGAGCTGAATGGAGTAGCTGCCCTAGCCCTGTGAAAGGGTTGTCAAGCTCTGTCAGTTATTAAGTTATTTGGCAACTTCCAAGGACAATTTTTTCAACAACATGACTTTTTTGTGATTCACTCTTATTTAACTATTGTAAGTTGTCCCCTCCCACCTAGTCAAATCTACAGATTCACTCCCTTTCTTATTTTTCACCTGCAGCATGCCCTAAAATGAAAAATGTGTTTGGTGGTGAAAAAAAAAATCATGATAGAAACATTGGTATCAGATTCCTTACTTCAGTCATGATACAATAGTAGGCAGTGACTCTCCATCTGCCCCTATGAAAACATCAGAGAAAATAATGAAAGGAAAAAAATCAAGCTTCTTTATTTGACTTTTTTTTGTATTTCTGTACATGCTGCATGTAGTCTTCATCTTAAAGGAGGTTTGGCGCCTGTTGTTTGGAAAATTTCTTGAATCAAAATTCAAATTTTCTGAAGACATACGTTTCCAAAGGATCTTTATCAGTCAGACCTAGAGAGAATGGAGCTTTCTATGGACCTGTACTAAGGATGAAGTCGGTTCCTTATCAGCTGTGATTTGAACTTCAAATGCAGAATACTAATGAGCAATTCTCATTCCATTTTCATAGCTAGATTTCTTTGGGCTCCTGAAAGCAGATCTAACCCTTGTGATCTTTACATTGCATCTTCTCTCTTCTTTAAGGGTGGGGGGTGAAGAAAAGAAAAGGTGTTGCGAAATGGCTCTCTCTCCCTAACTCTTTCCCTTTATATTTTTTGTCAGGGTGACACTTCAGGAGACTACCGGAAAATCCTACTCAAGTTGTGTGGTGGAAATGACTAAGTGGAACATTCACTTTTTAAAAAAAGCAGCTGTTTTTATGTTATTGCTTTAAAATGACATTTTTCAAAAACCAGATGTGGTGACTTATTTTCCTGAAGCTGTTATGCTTGTAAAATTAATTTTCCATATCTCATCCCTTCCAGTCAAAAATAGTATATCTAACTATTTTAGGACAGGTGCCAGATTCTTTTAGCCCTTTAATTCCACCCCTCCGGCGCGCGCGCGCGCACACTCTCTCTCTCTCTTTCACTTTTTTTTGTATGGACAGTATATCTGCCACTTTATTAATGCAAATGTTCTTGTTTGTGTTGTGCACAGCAGCGCTTTCATGGTGATGTACTTCCTGTGTGAATAGAACTGCCTTCTTGTTGTTCTGCATCAAGATTGTTTTGAGAAGTTTTGCCAAATGCCTCTTTTTTTTTTCTTTTCCTAAGGAAGACTCGCTCTATATTATTTCATGTTCTTCAATGCAAATATCACAAGATTCTAGCCTCTGCGAGTAAAAACCTTTCCAGTAAATGTTTTTAATTGTGCCTTAAAATCAAGCATATGTATCTAAAAGTAGATTGTAAAATTAAAGGTATCTATCTTGTAAACTTCCTAGAACAGCTTTACTTTTGTGCAGACATTTCTGTCCTATCTTATAACTCAGTTTAAAGGATCTTTTTAGAACTTCCATGGAAAAACTCTGTGAGAACAGATAAAGAAATATCTGTGCCAGACTGGCTGAATTCTAAAAGGAAGACGCAACTGAATTTGCATCTCTATCAGTGCACACCTGTAGTAAGAGCTTAATTCTTTCATTGAAAGGGGCTAACAGGCTTCTCAGAGATTCAGAGATTGGGAAAGTTTTGTTTAGCTGGTTGTGTATGGGGTGGTCTAGAGGCTAAGGATCTGCAGCTTTGGATATCTAGTGCAGGTTTGGTGAAGAGTAGAATCTGGATTCTGTAGGATACAGAGTTTTAAAATGGCATTGGAAAAGCAAATACCTTTATTTTAAAGAAGCACAGAAAAAGCTAATTTATTATTCAGGACTGTTTATCCCAGTTCAAAATCTAGAACCATTCTGAAATTTCTTAAAGCACAAAGTGCAACAATGAAAAGCAACAATGACTTATTATATTCTGATCTCTTCCAGTTCCCTGGTGCTCAGCTGGCATCTGTGGAGAGAAGATTTAATGCAATTAATTTTGGGTGACAGGAAGACTAAATGAATGCTTGAAAAATCTAAGTATGGCAGTTGTCCCTTAAAGCAAAGGGATAGTTCTGCGAAGTGAGACTGACTTTGTTGACATATTTGATCAGAGGTGAAGATCCTGGCAGTCTGATTCCTGGACCCATCTATAACTTCTTCCAACCCTGCTACACCATATGTTGTACTTGCACTTTGTACATAGCACTTGGTCACAAACTAAATTTGCATCTGACTTTTTTAAAGTTCCTCTAACATTACCCCCAAAATAATTAGCAATGATTGCTCTCACCTATAGTAACCACAACTTTTTCAAAGAGAAAATTAATTTAAGTTAATGGAGGGACAGTATAGCCCAAGGGTGGGCAAAATGTGGCCTGGGGGCTGGATGCAGCCCACTAGGCCATTCTATCTGGCGCGCGGGGCCCCTAAAAAAATTCAGAAAATTAATATTAATCTGCCCTGGGCTGCCTGTCATGTGGCCCTCGATGGCTTGCTGAAACTCAGTTAGTGGCCCTCTGCCCAAAATAATTGCCCTCCCCTAGTATAGTGATGAACAGGATGATAGACTGGGACTCCAAGGATCTGAATTTTAATCCCAGCTTCTCCCACTGACAGGGAGAGAGGATTTTCTTGATGGCTGATCTGAGACTGGAATGAATGTGTACCCCAAGTACATATTTCTTCAACCTGCATTCTCTAAATAAATGCACCTCAGCATGGATGTTTAAAGAAACAGCCAAACTCCTAGAGAGAGAGACTTGGAAAAAGAGAGAGAAAATCATTTGTGATAAGATATTAGTCATTGGGGCTAACAGGTAGTTGGTGATATGTGCTATTCATCTAAAGGGCCTAATAGAAGTGGTCTTCTTTGTCCCTCTGTCCCTCTGTTTGCAGATTATGTTAATCTCTGCATATATTTTTACATCAGAGATAATAGGGTATGTGGAATGGAACAGTAGTTGTTGCCAACTGTGCTGATACCCTACTACATCTCAGTGAGATCAATACCATCAAAAATGTCCTTGACGGGGGTCCCAGGAGGAACAGGGACATTCCACGCTGTTTCACTGATGGTATTGAGCAGTGCCTTCACTTCTGAGTCCAAATAGTCCACTGTTTTTTCTACCTGCTAATAAAAACAAAAGAGAGAAAGTTGGTGCAGGATGAAGGAAAGAGTAGCAAAAGTGTTGTAAAACCTACTAGCTAAATCTTGAAGGCCTCAGCTAGCTAATGGAGTTGGTAGAACTCTCTAGTGCTTTCATGTTTCTTGAGTTTTGCTGACCCCTGGTGGCCAAGAGAAATGAAATCGTGTTTGCTTTTTTTCCAACTAGCTGAAATGCTTGGAAATTAGGTGCTGTAGAAGAAGGACTTGAATGGATTCATTTGTTGTTCTCTCATACCAACTGATAGGCTAGGTTAAAGGAGCTGAGCATGAGTTACCCATATCAATTCTGTGGGTGCTTAAAACACGGCTTTACTAGAAGTCCATTCATTGGTTCCATTTGGATTTTAATACCTGCAGTGACGCAGCCACCTCCTCCTTTTATTCAGCCTGCTACCATACTCAGTCACCTAAAACTGATAATATGTGACTTCAGGCAAGTAATACTGTTTAATATAAACCAAGCCACATCAGTATTAGACATCCTGAGCTTGCCAGTCTACACACTTGCCCAGTCTACACTCCAATCTAGCTGCTGGTAAAAAGAATAAAATAAAATGAAAAAAATAGGGCAGGATTCAGAACTTGACTATTTTCTGCAGACTTTTTGGGAAGCCTGAACAATTGGTGAATTGGTCATTGCTGAATTGACTGTGGAGGGTCCGAGTCTGAGACTGAGTTCTAGGGTAGACTGAGTTGGTTCTGTTGTAGGTTAATTCAATACTTGGACAAACTATTGCAACCTTTAATTGTAAAGCACCTTGTTAATGAGATTAGTATCCTCAGGATATGTTTATAAATACTTTAAGTGATGTCTTAATTTGTTAATCAAATATTTAGAATCCAGCAAGTTAATACATTCCTAATAATGATGGCTTTCTACCATCTCTAAAACCATTTACTTATGTGCTTAACTGTCTACAGTGCTGCTAGGACTGTAACAGTTGTTGCAACACGTGCTAATCTTTTAACACTAAATATACTCACTATATCAGGTGTGACCAAAACATCTTAATAAAACAGAAACACAAAGAAACAGCCCATCCTTGGCATTCAGCCCAATTTCTAAACAACTTTTGACATGCACAGGAGCACTGTGCTAAATACACAAAGATGCTATGGGTGGAATTAAGGTTCCATGGAAGCCATTAGTAAAACTGGCTAACTGCAACATTGGGTCCACCACGATCCTCTGGC